CGCGGCGATCTCTGTCGGCGAGGCGCCTTCTCTTCTTCGTCCTCGACGGCGGCCTCTGGCGTCACCATCGTCTTCGCCGACGGCGGCGCTGGCTGCCGCCCCCCCATCTCCTGGTCGCCCCCAGGCGCCGCTGGCGCCCGTCCTGCGACGCGGCGGAGGCCCCTCGTAAGTCTTGGCCGCTACGTCCGTCGCCTCCCGCTCGGTGAACAGACTTGCGCCTGCGGGCGAAGTCATCCAAGCAGCGCGCGTGCGTGGTGCATTTGCGTAGGGTGTCTGCGTTGTGCACCGGCGCGTTTTTTTTTTCGCGCGACGAATGGACGTCGCGCTTCTGCGCGGAATTAGGGCGCGGCGTTTCCGCGTCGCGTTTTCGCGTAATGCGCATCCATGATCGACCCGCGAATTCGATGAAGGATTCCCAAATTGCAGGGGCTGGGGGCGCTTTTAAACACCTCGAAGGGACGATGGGCAATGGCAGCGCTGGAAATCGCAGCTTCGATGCTACTGTGCCAACGGCTGCGTTGCGCTCCTCCGCGCAGTGCCGGGCCGCGCGACGATGCGCCAGCGGGCGCACCGCGCGCTCTATGCGCGCGATGTATTTCCGTAAAGTATTTCACGCAGGAGTTAGCGCGCCGCGTGTTGGCGGATTTTTCCGCGCCGCGCGTTCTCGCGGTCGACCCGCGAAACCGGGGGGGCAATCAGAACTGCGAGGCCCGAGGGCGCTGCCGAACACCTCGACCGGGCGCCAGGGAATGGCGGCGCTCGGGATATCAACGGTAAAACTGCCGCGCCGCGGCCTGCGCCGTGCTCCTCTGAACTGTGCTGCGCCGCGCATTGACGCGCAAGGGGGTGCGCTGTTTTTTGTTTAACCTGCGCGAGGTATTTCGCGCGGCTCGCGCGACTGGTTGGAGTTGGCGCGCGGCGTTTCCGCGCGATGTTTGGGCGCGACATTTTCGCGGCGCTTGTTTCCGCGGTCGACCCGCGGGCGCGAGGGGGGGGTCAAAACTGCAAGGCCAGGGGGCGCTTCGAAGCGCCTCAGCTGGGCGCCAGGCAGCGGCGGCGCCGGGGATGCGAGCGGCGATGCCGCAATGCCGGGGGCCGCGTCGCGCCCCTCTGCGCTGCGCCGCGCCGCGGGATGACGCGCCGAGGGGGCGCGCCTCGTGCGAAATTTGCCCCATGCGTTTTCGCGTCGCGCTGGCGCGCTGCATGTGCGCAATGAATTTCGCGTGGCGGATGGATGTGCTGCTCTCGCGTGGAACAGGCGCGATGTGCATCCGCGTCGCGTCCTCGCCTCGCGATTTCGCGCCGTGCGTTTTCGTGCTCGACCTGCGAGCCCGGCCGGGGATGGGGGTCGGAACGTCGGGGCCAGGGGGCGCCCTCGTGCACCTCCATCGGGCGATGGGCGATGGCGACGCTGGAGATATGCTTTGCGATGCGACTGGGCCAGGGGTTGCTCCGTGCCCCTCTGCGCTGCGCCGCGCCGCGCTCTGGCGGGCTGGCAGGCGCGCCGCGCTGTCGATTGGCGTCGCGTATTCTCGCGTTGCACTCGCGCGAGGCATTTGCGTAGTGTACTTTGCTGCGCGAATGGGCGCAGTCTGTCCGCGCGGCGTTGGCGCGCGCTGTTTCCGCGCCTATTTTTTCCTCGCTGGTTTCGCGAATGCGCCTCTATGGTCAACCCGCGAGACCGGAAAAGGATCCAGAGCCGCGGGGCCCCGGGGCGCCCCCGGCGCTGCAGTTGGGCGATGGGCAGAGGCGACGCTTGAGATAACATTGGTGACGCTGCTGCGCCAGGGCCCGCGGCGGGGCCTGCGCCGCGCCCCTCCGCGCCGCGCCGCGCTCTGACGCGCCGGGGCGCGCGACGCACGGCGTGGCGTGCTCGCATTCTGTATTCGCGCAATGCTTGCGCGCGGCGCGCCGGCGCCCGTCGCCGGCGCCGCCCGAGCCCGCGCGGGGCGGGCCGACGCGGCGCCGCGCGAGTGCCCTGCGTCGTCGCGCCATTCGAAAACATAGCGTGAAGACGCGACGAAGACTAGAAACAGCCGCGCGTACACGCAAGGGTCGCTTGCGTCTCTCGCCAGCGCCGCCCGGGCTCGCGGGGGGCGGGCCGCCGAAACGCAGCCGGGGCGGTCCGCGTCGGCTCGCCACTCGACGGCGCTGCGAACGAAACGTCGCGCAGAGAGAAACGCCCGCAGCCGCGGTCGCCCGCGCCACTCTTCAGCGTCGTCGGAGACCGCGGGGGCCTGGCCGCTGGGGCGCCCTGGGGAGCGCCGCCGGGGGCGCTGCGACGCGTGCTCTTGGCGGCGACCAGGGGCGAACCCACGCTGGGGCATTGTGCGTTGTGCTTTATTTAACGTCGTATTTCAACGTCGAATTTGTGGTCTATTTGCGCGGTTTTGTATTTCGCCTTTGCAGATTCTACGCGGCCTTTCCAATTCCATGCGCGAAGCCGTCCTCAGTGAAGTTCTTCCTCGCCGCCCATCAGTTCGCCGAATCCGGATGGGCGCTGCCTCGTTCTGCTCCGTAGAAGCCTTGCCCGAGCGCGGCGCGCCTGCGAACTGCTGCTGGAGCCTGGAGACGACGGCGCGGGTCGTCCTCGAGCAGGCGCCCGCGCCGCCTGGCGACCACCTGCCTTGGTTTTCGCGCTCGGTCTTGAGGGCCCCCATGTCCGCCAAGGCTGATGGAGGCGTCGCTTGCTCCGACTGCTCCGCGCCACCCGCGGCCACTCCGAAATCCGGCGCCCGGCGCCGCGGGTTTTCGTATGCAGCAGCGTGGCCGCCAGACCCCCGCCTATGCGAGCGAGACGCCGAGGTGGGAGCCAGCCGCAGTCGTCTGCGCGCAGCGCGGCCCAGACTTTGACGCGGCGAAACCACGCCATCCCGCTCAGGTACTTCGCGGGACACTCGTCTGCGACCAGCTGCTCCAGGGTCCCGATGAACGCTCTGGTGACTTGGGCCGGCCTCATGGTCGCTCCCTCGCCAGCCCCGAGGAGCACGCGCGCGTTCGCGACGACCTGTTGGACGTCAGGCAAAGCGGGAAACCTAGCGTTTGGGTCGAAACCCGCCGCCCGCTCGGTCCAGGCCAGAGCGCGGACGGCCTGGTTCGGCGCCGTCGGCCCGCAGGGCTCGGAGTGGGGCCCCGAGCAGAGGGGGTGATTTGTTAAGTTCGTTGGTCTTCTTGTAGCTGGCATTGCGATTCAGGCAGGTACCACTTCTATTTAGGTGGGTTCCCGCGGTTGCCGTAGTTGGGGCCATGGCCTCATTGAACTTCTTGGGGCCCGCGTGACGGTGTCGCTCAAAATCCCTGCGGCCGCGCCCCACATGAACGGAAAGCTGCCCAAAACCCCACCCGCCCTTTAGGGCGCGAGAGGTTTAGATCGTTTCCTCTTCCAATCCCAGTTTTCCAAATCGGGGAGGACTTCACCCCTTCAGAAGTAGATGGCCCAAGATGGCTCAAGAGAGTGCAATACGGCCTCCAAAATAACATCCAATATTCGAAAATGGGTCAATGGGGCCTTCCAACATGCCCTAAGAAGCCCCAGTGCCCTCCCAAAGCGCTTCCGAATGGCCACGGACCCCCCGAAAAATACCCCCGAGAGGCCAACATCCTCCAACGCCAAAAGGACACAAATTATTGGTACGTTCTCGCTTGGTCGCTTCCGACAATTTTGCGGGGCTAAGGGCCCAGTGCAGCTTCAAACCGGCCCCACGAGCGCCCCAAGAGCGTCCCAAGGAAGAGCTAACAGGCGACCTTAGGAACCCCATAATAGTTGCCAAGAGATCCCCTTTCGATCAACGTCAACACCATTGAAACATTAAAATGCTTGTTCTTCTTCCAGTTGCCGACGTGTCAAGTTAAAACGGGGCCTCCGAATGGTTCCAAACAAAAATCACTGGCGGGGGGCGATTTGGGGGACTGGCTGGGATTGCGTGAGTTCGCTCCTTAGATGGAACATGAGAAACCACATTGGAAATCCAATGAGCGGAAGTGGCAAAAGTCCTGCCTCGGCATGCGGGTGGAACTTACGTGAAGACAACCTGCGCGGCGGAACGAATGGGGTGCATGATCTGCGGTGAACTCGACGACGTGCCAACCATGCGGTGCCATAGACATGAGACGGGGGTGGGCAGCCACAGGGCGAACATCCGGAAGCGCCAACCACGGCGCAAGACGGCGACGAGGCGGCGATGGCGGCCACGGGGCGAAACCCCAGAAGAGCCCACCAACGTACAAGGCGGCGACGAGGCGGCGACGGGCAGCCGCTGGGCGAACCCCCCCCCAGAAGGACCAGCCAACGCACTGGGCTGCGACGAGGCGGCGCGACGGGCCGCCACCAGAGTAACACCTGGAAGCGCCATCAAGTGCACGAGGCGGCGACAAGACAACGGCGGGCGGCCACGGGGCAAAAAGCCGGAAGCGCCAGCCAACGCACGAGGCGGCGACGATGCGGCGATGGGCAGCCACCGGGGGGAAAACCTGGGAGCGCCATCCAGCGCACGAGGCGGCGACGAGGCGGCGACGGGGGGGCACTGGGGAAGACCCGGAAGCGTCAGCCATCGCGCGAGGTGGCGAAAAGGCGGGGGATGCCCGAAAGCGTACGCCATCACTTCAGCATCTACGCAACAAACCGTTATCCGAACAGTGCTTTGGGAAAGGACCAAGCAGTATTTTTCGAGACGACAGGACATGTGGGGAGGAAAGCGACAGCAACAATTCGCGCAACATCGGTCCCTGGATCCTTCCCGAAACCATCCCGCCGAGTTCTCCGAGCTAGACTCTAGACCACGAGCAGCGCCTTCGAAACCACCAACAGCCCAATCGGGCGGCGATGGGTGGGGGGCGATAGGCGGGGGGGGGGCAGCGAGGGCTGCAGAAAAGGGGCTCTTCAGGACCCCTGAAAGGGCCCTTTCGGGCCCCAAAGGAAGCCGTCGAGGGCCTGCCCTCCATGTATCGTCCCCGCATGAATTCGCGCCCAAGCCAACATCCGAAAACCCAAACCGGAAATCCTATGGGGTGGTTGAACACGTAGTTGCCATCCACGTCTGGGTACGCCGTCTGCGTCTGCCCCGCATAGCCGCCCTCCTGCGCCGGGTGCCACTCCGACCCCACGTGCGCGGCGTAGTCCACGAAGAGGCCTGCTGGCAGTTCAGGGGGAAGGAACGAGAGAGGGGAGGAGGTTGGAGACGAGAAAGAGCAGGACGCCCCTCCTTCTCATCCTCATTCTCCTTGCTGGTGTCTCGCCTGGAGATTCGCGATCATCGAGGCTCTCGTGTTCAGTGCGAATCCAGTGAGCAACTCAGTGAACGTGACTATTTCTAGCTAGATCGGGGAGCCACAAGAACTCACGCTCAAGCGAGACTTTCTGGGCATACCCCCCTCCCAGTTTCCATTCCCCTCCACTTAACAGATCCTACCCTTGCCCCTGCCAGTTGCAGTCGTGTGGCGGGGCGCAGACATGTACTGAGTTACCTGCCAGCACAAATAAACGTGGTGGCATCGTTCGGATTTTGCCAAGGATGCGAAATCAAAGCACAGTATGTCAAGACTCCCCACTTGAATAAAACACCCATCGAAGAACAAGCTCACTCGAAGAAAACAGGACGACAACCTCCCTCACCGCAAGATTCAATCAAACATGTGAAACCCGCAAATCGACCACCTCTCAAAGAAAAATAGACGAACCTCGAAAATCCACCTCGAATGAAGCTGAACAAAACAGCACCGCGGAGCTTGGACAACAATTGCGAACGAGGGTGCGCTGAAATTGCACTGTGCCCCAGTGCCTGTAACTGCACTGTGTCTTGAGCAGGCTTGTGCGGTGACAGCGCGGGATACTGGCATAGAGCAGCAACGTTGAGAGCAACAGTGGACAATACGCGCGGAGCGTGGGGCACTCGCACAGAGTAGTTGTTTATGGATTTTTGTGCGGTCCCACACTTGCGATCAAATACTCCGCGCTGCGCTCTCATACTCCATAGTGCAATCGTATGCTCCATACTGGGCTCAACGACGCCGAGATACTTAACAAGATCCCACGCTATATATTCAGCTTATTTCAAGGAGCACCGCGTATCACGACAGCGACTCGGCCCCGTAGCGTATAGCGGAGGGGCGCCTGGCCAGTAGTAACTACTACACGAGGGTGTGGAGGAGGTGGATATTAAAAGAGAGAGAGGGAGAGAGAGTCGCAGGAGACAGGTCGCCGCAAATACCGGATCGTATCGCTGCGCGGCAAACAATGTACATAGAAACGTGGAAAACTCGGTGGCGTGCACGCCGCACGGACCACCTTATCATGGTCGAGCGCCTGCAACGACTCGCAGCACAACATATTGCACAGTGTACCATGGGTGTTCGTATGCATTCCCTGGGGCTCATGCGGCTAGCGAAATCATACACTAATTAAAACGATGCGGAGGGAGGAAGGGAAAGAGGAATCGAAAACGACAGAAGGAGGAGGAGGAGGAGGAGGAGGGGGAGGAGGAAGAGAAGGAGGACCAGTGCAAATCCAAGGCTCATCAATCATGCTGCAAAACAGAAAAACCCTCCTTCCAATTTCCTCGTCACAGGTTCCTACAAGGGTCTACTTTCACTGTAAAAATGCCCCGTTGGAAGGTAACCGTTTGAAAATCCGCAACAGCTCCCTAACACAAAAAACATCACTCCTAGGATGTCAGCGCTGCGGATTAAGATTACTCTTGCGCCCTGACGGTCCTGAATCGTGAGAACACCACGCCTGGGACTTCAACACAGGGAATCAACGTGACTGTTGCGCCCTGACAGTCCTACATCGTGCCAAACTACCCTTCCTCGGACGGCAACCGAAAGAATCCTTGAAACTGTTGTAGAATCTCTCGAAGAGTGTGAGCGCCTGTGATAGGAAAACCACACTTTGAAAAAGAAGCGTCCTCCATCGGTAAAGCTCTTGCAAACTGTTAACACGACTGTGCGCGGCGCTAAGGCGAGAACCACATTTGGAAGCATCACCACCCTCCGTCCGTGAAGCCCTTGCAACATTTCAAAACGACTGTGCGCGGCACTGAGGTGGGCACCGTATTTTTCAATTCATTAAAAAATCACCATCGGTGAAGCTTTTGCAAAACTTGAACACGACTGAACACGGCGCTAAAGCGAGAACCACATTTTGAAAAGGACTCGCCCTCCATCCGTGAAGCTGTTGCAACTTGTAAGCTTCAAGATCGGCAGCGGGGAGGAAATCTCTGGCGAAACGCCCTGCCGCCCTACCGACACCTCTCGGGGTGCGACAGGGAAGAATTTGTTTAGAAGGACAAGAAAGAGAAGAGGAGGTGCAGGATGGGGAAATAAACCTGCGACCGGTGCCGAATCAGGACCCCGGGGAGGCCATGATCGCACACCAGATAACCTCGTTTATTTTCAAAATGCGTGGATGGGTTGTCTAGAAAAGATCCGTCCAATGCTCCCCGATGGCCGCATCGTGGCCGCCACTTGTGCTGGCTGGCTTTTTCGGGTTTTCGCCCTTGGCCCGCCCGAGGCCGCCTTGTGACCGCCTCGTTTGCTGGCTGGTCTGGACTCCGCGACCGCGACCCCGAGGATACAGGGCGGGATTTCGTGGATGCCCCGCGCAGAGCGCATCTGTACGATCGCGCCTCGGCATGCAGACCGCGAGGGCGTGGTCGCTCGTTGAGGGTGGCGACGCCCGCAGAGGGCGGGGAAACAGTGACACGTTGCCGCTCCGACGGGCGTTGTCAGCCAACACCAGTGAGGAACGAGCGTGCGAACCTTGGGGGACGAGGAGAGGCAGAGAGCACTGATGCAGGAGAGGAAGGGGGAAAAAGGATTTGGGCTGTTCCCACTACCAACCACTTGTTCGATGGCCTCGCGTTTCGGACTTTTGGTCCTCTTCCGGGCCAAGCAAGGCTAGGGTATTCACGCGCGCGTGCTGTGTAGCGCACAAGTAAGGCACCTAGAGGTCGAGGTTACTAGGGTGAAGAGAAAGAGGAGAAGGAAGAGGAGGAAGAGGAGCAGGAGAAAGAGGAGGAGGAGGAGGAGAAGGAGGAGGAGGGGGAGGAGGAACAGGCGGACACAAACTAATGTCGTTGTTGTTGCTATTGTTGTTGTTATTGTTGTTGCTGCTGTTGTTGTTGTCGTTATTGTTGTCGTTGTCGTTGTCGTTGTTGTCGTTGTTGATAGTGGTGTTTTTGTTGCTGCTGCTGCTGCTGCTGCTGTTGTTGTTGTTGTTGTTGCTGTTGTTGTTGTTGTTGTTGTTGTTGTTGTTGTTGTTGTTGTTGTTGTTGTTGTTGTTGTTGTTGAATATTATTACTTCTAAAGAATAATTATTGTTGGGCCCCCTGGTGCACGCCCCCCTCGCCGCGCCTAGGCCGCAGCCACATTTTCATCATTTTCGTGAGGAAGTCTCAGGCAAAACGGGGGAGTCCGGATCCGGTTGTTTTGTTGACGCCCGCTTTCCCTGTCAAAAAACAATATAAAATGACATGTCTTGTTCTAACATAACCAAACTTCAAGAATCCTTTGCAAAAAATGACACGAAGTGCACACTCGCGCGCGCAAGATGAAATCCTTCCAAAACCTTAGTTTTCGTAGCGATTTTAACATAAAAAAAAAAACCCAATGGTTTTTCAAACAAAAAGTTTCAAAAATTCATCCCGCGCGCTCTTGCGGATTTCTTAGGAAACCCAGTACTTTTTCAACATTTCTGTCAAACGGGCTCTTGCGAGCAACTTTTCCACGTGCTTCGAACTTCTGCAACAACGGTTGCGCGCATGCCAGGGCCATCATCCCTGTCAAATAATACCATATGGGACACATTCGTTTTTTCTTCGCGCGCGCACGCCGTCGTCGTCGGCCGCGGGGCCCTGAATAGTAGCCACGGTCGTCCGCATGCCACGAAGTGAAGTGTCCGAACGTCATAGGGCGGGAAGCTGGGTGTGGGTGGTGGCGAAGAGTCGTTTGGAAATTTGGTAGAGCTTGAACCGGCCCCCCCACAAAGTGGGGGTATTGCCCGCCTCCTATGAAAACCCTGGCACTGGTGAGAACGGAGTGTCCCCACGTGCTAGTAATTGTTGTTGTTGTTGTTGTTTCTTTTTTCGAAAGGCGAAGAGGCCCTCGGCCTGTTAGATCCATCAGTCACCTGAGCCTGTGGGGCGCCCCCACGAACTCCAGGTCTGAGTGGAAACAACTTGAGCTGGGCAACGCGCGGTACACATCGAATCTCGCTTTCATGTACGCGTGTTCCATGTTTGGAGCGGCGGGCACCTTTGCCCACTCCGCGCCCCCTTCTGACCCCCTGTCCCCCTTTAGCTCGTTCTTGCCAGAGACTGTTCACCTGCGCGCTCTGGGCAGACAGGACACTAGCGGCAACTTGGCAGTTCGAGTTCGCGGCGATCGCGGTCGAACCCACCCAATTTTTAGTGGTCGGCCAGCTCGCGTTCCGCCGAGCTCTGTCTAGCCTCCCGTGCGCGGGGCGCTGCTGTCCGACACGGTTCGAGCAGAAGCCGGCACGCGACTGCAAGCGGCAGCTTTGCCGAAAACCCCCAAGCAACGCAATCCGAGCGATATCGTTCGGAACTGCGTGCTTTTTTGCAACGCATCTGTTCCGAGCTGCCAAGGCTTGGCTGCCAGAAGCGGCTGGGGCGCCTTCTTTACACATTGGCGCTGCTCTCAGGGAGGACCTCACCCCCCTTCTATTCCTCCCTCAACTCTCAAATCCCACCAGCCCTCTGGGCTTAGGTGGTATAACGCGTTTTTTTCTTCTCTCTTCCACTGAAACCCCTCCCCCTCCCCCCTCCCCTGGGCCTGGATGGGGCGCGCCGCGAGGCGCTAGAGCGTCCAAGATGGCCCAAGATTGCTGCAAGAGGCGTTCAAAGTCGCAAAATAGCTTCCAAGATGGCCCATGTTACTTCAAGATGGGTCCAGATCGCCTCCGACATACCCCCAAGAGGCCCCAAGACAGCCCCAAGACGGATCCAAGTGCCCTTCGAGCCCTCCACGGCGCCCTCCGAGATGCCAAAACCCTTCAAAAGCCTTTGGAAAATCAATGTTTTTGGCATTCTCGCCTTTTCGCTTCCGATGGGCTTTGGAAGCCTCAAGATGGCACCATGATGGCCCAGAAGGGCCCCAAGAGGGGCCCAAGAAGGCCGAAGACGGCCCCAAGATCGCCCAAGAGGCGCCCAAGAGCGCTCCAAGACGGCCCCAAGACGCCGTTTGAGAGCCTCCGAGGGGGGGATCCGAGTTGAGGCGCCCCCTCTTTTTGAGCCATGGGGCCCAAAATTGCCCCAAGAGGCCTCCCAGCCTCTCCCAGAGACCCTCCACCCCGCCCTTTTTGGCCCAAGATGGCTCCAAGAGAGCACCAGATAGCCCAAGATGGCCTTCAAAATTGCCTAAGATAGCCAAGCATGGCTCAAGATAGCCTCCGACAGCCCTCCAAGAGGCCTCAAGGCAGCCTCAAGATGGCCCAAGATAGCCGAGCATGGCTCAAGATAGCCTCCGACAGCCTCTAGCCGAGCATGGCTCAAGATAGCCTCCAAGAGGCCTCAAGAAAACTGGCAATCAATTATGGTTGGGCTGGTGGGGATACTTTTTGATCTGCGGCTCCAAGGACGATTCCAGAGAGGGGGTCGTATCGAGCATGGGGCAGCACGCATTTGTCCTCCATGCTCCTCCTTCCCGCTGCCTGCTGGCCACGTGGCGCGTCCGCCTGCGGCCTCGCGCCTTTGTGTGGGTTTCATGAGGGATGTGGGGCGAGCAGAGGGAGGAGGGGCAAATCCGGGAACCTTAAAAGACCAGCGGCAAATGTTTATAATGCCGCGGGTGCGCCGCCATTCGCTGCGGTGCCAACTGAGGTTTCACCTTGTACTTGCTGTTGTTCCATGATGGGGGAAGCGGCGCGGTGTTCACAACACCTGACCAACCCGTGCATTACGATGAAAGCGAGTGGCACGGAAAACTTTGGCGAAGAGGGGGGGGGAAACGAAGAGGGCGGTACATATCACCAGGGTGTACGCGGCACCTTGCCAACTCTCGTAATAATGGGAGGCGCGCAGTACCTAACCAACTCTCGCAATGCCATTCATTGTCCTTTTCCTTTTTATCTTCCGCTCCCCGCTTTAATTTCGTGCCTCGGTGCGGTTTTCGTGTTTCGGTGCCGTCGGGGGGAAGAACCACAACCAATCGGGATACACCGAAGACGCGCTGCAATGCGCCCTCCCGTCCCAAGTCCCCTCCCCATTAGCCCGTTTCAGAATTCTCTATCATTGTGGGGAGTGCCCGCTTGAAACAAGACATCCCATGGTCCTAGCTATACGGGCGGCTACGGAGCATGCTTCTAGCAACGCGGACGACTACGGAGTCCGATCATGAAATCCAAAGGCGTGTCCAACGAGAACTCCGCCTTGAACAACCGACGCCCTCAATCCGTGCATGTTTCCTCAAGCACGAACACGTATGTTGATCAAGCGTCACTGCGTCTCCAACAAGGAAGCCCGCTTGGAGAAAAAAACCCTCCATCCGTGCAACGGTTGCGAAATTTTCAACTTCCGACCAGAAGAGGTTATACCAATCCTCATCGGAACTTGTAATTCAAAAGTAACTGCCCTCGGCCTGTGCAAGGCTGATCTCGGAACTGATACGAGAACGTGATTATGAAAATGACCTCCTGCATCCGTGTAGTGGTGAGGAGCCTTGAAGACGAATGTGCGAGGCGCAAGGGCGAGAACCACATGTTGAAAACGAGGCCCTCCGCCCGTGTAGGTTTCATTCTAAGCACTTTCAAAACGAATGATCGCGGCACTGAAACGATAACCGCATTTAGAATCATACCCGCCCGCCACCCGTGTATCTGTTTGACACGCTGAGGACGAATATGCGTGGCGCTAAAACGAGAAATATCAGTCGAAAGGTTCCGAGACGAATGTGCGCGGCGCTATGGCGAGAGCCCCACTTTGAAAACCACCCTCCGCCGATGAAACAGTTGGACACTTTCAAAGCGAATGCGTGCGGCGCTGCGGCGAGAACCGTATTTTGAAAAACCCCCCCCACCTCATCCGTGAAACTGCTAGGATAATTTCCAGATGTGGGGCCACGAGTCATGAGTGGAGGACGTCTCAGGCGAAACGCCCGGCCCGCACTGCCCCACACGTCTGGTGCTCAGACGAGGAGCAATCTAAAAGGAGAACTGGCAGAGATCGAGAAGGAGGCAGGTTGACGAGGGAGGAGTGACGGATGGCGGCTGGAGCGAAGGATGGGATTGGAAGGATCAGGAGTAGGAGCAGGACTAGACATGAGGATGTAGAAGGTGAATGTATAATGTATAAGGCGGCAGGAATATGCCTGAAGGCGCATCCAAGACGGGCACGGAAGCGTGGCCACCTTTCATGCCCCAGAGCAAACATGGCAGCGGACAGGCTGGGTGAGAAGCAAGCAAAGCAGGAGGACCGTCTGTTCGAGTGCAGGAGGGAATGAGGAGGAGGAGGAGGAGGAGGAGGAGGAGGGGGAGAAGGAAGGAGGAGGAGGAGGAGGAGGAGGAGGAGGAGGAGGAGGAGGAGGAGGAGGAACGAGGACGAACACAAGAAGGACGAGGACGAGGACGATGACGAGGACGGCGCGCGCCGTCGTCGCTCGCCGCCCCCGGGAAGCGGGCCCCGAACTCCAGCTCGCCCACGTAGTGGACCTCGAAGTGGCTGTCCGGCGGCGGCCCCGGCGCCCCCTGCGCGCCCTCCTGCGGGGGCCCAGGCCCAGAGCATCGCGATTCGGCCACGAACTCTCGAAGTTCGAAGTTCGAAGTTCGAAGTCGAGGTTCGTCGAGGTTCGTCGAGGTTCGAAGTCGAGGTTCATTCGCGATCGCGGCTCGTCGAGGCTCGAAGTTCGAGGCTTCTCGGGGGGCTGCACGTGGGCGCCCCGGGCAAGCCCAGAGCACCGGGATTCGAGGGTTCGTCGAGGTCTTCCCACGCTCTTGCTCTCCCCCTGCCCCCTTCCAAGAGGGCCACATACGCGCACCGTACAGTCGGGGCGTTGACCTAAGGAACCCTACATAAGGAACGAGGCCCCTTTTTTTCCATAAGTTAATCTAAGAAGCACCTGAGGCAAGCTGCGAAACACTTAAGGAACGCGGAGCCCCTCCCCAACGAAAAGGGTTCCTTCTTCAGGGCCCCGACTGTAGGCCTCCACGATCGCCCACGAACTTTCCAAGAGCATCCGGGAGGCTCCAAGGCTACGGTCGGCAGCTCTTGCTTATGCCGTGTCGCGGCGGCGGCCCCTGCGGTGCGCTGTGCCCTGCGAGGTGATGGCCTGTCGATCCGCTCCACGGGGCGGATAGCGTCTCGGCGCTGACGCGAGGTCCGTGGTGGGCCAGAACCGGTGGAGGGACACGCTAACCAACAGTTCCCGAGCGTGTGCCAGTTTTCGCACGCTTCCCCCCCCCTCCCGCCGCCCCCTATTCCAAGCGGACCACAAGAGCGCACAGGAGGCCTCCACGATCGGCCACGAACTCTCTGAGAACACAGAAGGCCATCCATGTCCTCAAGACGGCTGGAAAGGACCCGTATGCGACCCAACAGCGCCCCAAAGAGCTCCTCCAGATGCACGCAGATCTAGTATCCTTTTAGTTTTCCAATGAATGTGCGTCCTGGCCATTCGGGCTCTTGACATCCCAAGACGGGTTACGAGGCTTCCCAGTGCGGTCCATGAAGGCTCCAAGATAACTCAAGATGCCTCCAGTACGGCCCATGACACTCCCAAGAAGGCCCAACGAGGGGTCCCAAATAGGAGATCCACTGGACCCTGGGCGCCCTCGCACACAAATGCCGCTCCTCAAACTGCCTAGGTAGACGCCCCCCTAATGCCCTCACGAGGCCCCCAACAAGCTACTAGAATCTCCCGAGGGGCCTCCAGCATCCCTCTGAACGCTCCCAAAGCCCTCAAGAGCTCCCCTCAACCACGAGGCCTGCTGTGTGTGTATATACACAGACATGCGAAGAGGAGAAGGGAATGCGACCACAGAGCTGTTCACCAGACTCGGCCTCGACCGCTGGGGGAATCAAAAGGTCGCCAATCAAACCGGGAACACCATGCGAGCCGACCTGCGATATGTAGCAAGGTCATGCGCTGAACCGTGGCCTGAAAGATGAGCGAGCGTGCCGCGTGCCGCAACGCAAGAACCGAAATAGGATGCGTATCGAACTTGTTCTACGACCGCACGCCGTCACGCGTGCATCGGCCCTGCTGTGCAAAGCCCCCCCCATATCAGGCTACGGACTCGCACCAACGGGCGTCCACGGCGCCCGCCCCGGGAGAGGCGGCTGCGCCAACCACGCCTCGGCGCCGTGCTGCTGGGGGCCTCGGTCAGGCTCGGGCAGCTCTGGCGGCGTCCGGGGCTCTCGCCCCACTCGGGGCAGCGCCAGCGGCGCAGGCGACAATGCCAGATGAGATGCGGGCTAGGAGCGACACAACAGAGCGGGAAAGAGAGGGAGCGGGTCGCCTTCCAGAGTGGCTTGCGCCTTGAGCCAACCTTGAGCCACATGCTGTCTTATGTGTGTATATATACATATGCATATATCAGATCTCCACGCGCAACATGCCACCCGCTTTTGTGCTGTGCGCACGCAGCCCTATCCGTGCACATGTGCTTGTTTCGCACATGAACGTATATGCGACCCGTATGTTTTCCAGATTCGTCTTTGAGGCAGACGCGCTCGAATCGATGTTTCGGCCCAACTTCAAAGCGATGGTCGCCCTGTGCGCGTGCAGCCATTTCCGCCATCCGCAGAAAAAGCTGGGATTCTGGTGGGCGGTGGAATCATACTCCGCCGCCTGATCTGCAAGTCCGCCGCCGTGGCCGTCTCCAACTCAACACCCACCACCCCGCAACACCTGTCTTCAACACAGCACCCATCACTCTACAACATCCATGTCCAACGCAACATCCACTGCTCCACCCTTTTAAAAACACAATCAAAACGAACCCGCCCGCCGACCGCTGCCGCCCCCCGCCGCCCGCCGGTTCTGCCCGCC